AGGCGTGCGAGCGTGCGCGCCGCCCGTGCGTGGCCGACGCGCATGCGCTGGCGAGCATGGTCGGGTGGTGCCAGCCGCCCCCTTGGGGCAAGGGCGCCCTGCTGAGCCAGGGAGGCAGCCGGGCCTCCTCCGTGCTCCCCCTCCTGCTCGTCCCAGGGGAGGGGGAGGGGGGAGGGGGAGGAGGAGGAGGAGGAGGAGGAGGAGGAGGGGAAGGAGGAGGAGGAGGAGGAGGAGGAGGAGGAGGAGGAGGAGGAGGAGGAGGAGGAGGAGGAGGAGGAGGCGCCATGCTGAGGCGGGGAGGCAGCGGGCCTCCTCCGTGCCCCCCCCCCCTCCTGCCCGTCCCAGGGGGAGGCGCCAAGGCACCCTCTAAGTACCACCTCGCAACTGCCGCCACCTGCGCTCGGCACGAGCCTCAGTTCGCCCGGTCCCAAGCCACCCTCCCCCTGCTACCATCCAGCACCCCCCGCCAACGGCGAGCCTCCTTCAGCGCCTCGTGGGCGGCGGCGGCGGCGCTGCCGCGCGCAGCCTGCTCGGCGGCCTCGGGCGGCAGGCTGGCTTGCCCGCGGAAAAGATGCACAGTCGGGACTGCGAGCGGGAACGTGACAGACAGTGTGGGACGCCTGAGCCAGCCTTGCACGTGCAGCGTGCACCTCTAGTACGACTGAGGCAGCACAACGATACACGTGCTTTTTCAGGGGCGCCCCAACATGTACTGCCAGAAGTGGCGGCCGAGAGCGTGCGAATCGCAGGCCGAGAATCAGGGGGCACCTACATCGGCCTGGCAGATAGGGGCGGGGGATGAGGAAGAAGCGAAGGGAGGAGAGAGTACGCCCCTACTCAGAGTTAAGATGATGTTAGGCTACGAAAGTGGGCATCACTCGAAGCGTGTTCTTGATCCGTATCCCAGGTACAGATCTACGAACAGTCTGCGAAGACAACTCTAAGAAAACGCCCATGGTCCCAGTCCAGCGCTTCGCGGGGGGCACGGCCAGACAAAACCACACTACCATTATTTGGCGGACGACAAGGTTTCGGACACACCTGCGGCGAGGCTGGAACTTGACACCCGTGTCACCCGCGGACCGTCCTCCTCCCCCTCCCCCAGACTCCTCCTCCTCCTCCTCCTCCTCCTCCTCCTCCTCCTGCTCCTCCTGCTCCTCCTCCTCCTCCTCCTCTTCCTCCTCCTCCTCCTCCACCTCCTCGTCCTCCTCCTCTTCCTCTCCTCCTCCTCGTCCTCCTCTTCCTCCTCCTCCTCCTCCTCCTCCCTCCTCCTCCTCCTCCTCCTCCTCCTCCTCCTCCTCCTCCTCCTCCTCCTCTTCTTCTTATTATTATGCTTCTCCTTACTTGTTCAAGCTTCTGTCAGCCCAAGACGCACAGGGGCCTCCAAGATGGTCCCAAACTTGCCCGAAAGACCTCCAAGAAGGCTCCAAGACGGCCAAAGAGGGCCCTAACATTGCCCAACAGGCCTTCAAGACGGTCTATGAGACCACCACACTGCTTCCTAAATTGCCCCGAGCGGGCTCCAAGATGGAGCCCAAACAAGCCCCCGAAACGGACTCCGATGCCGGCGTACAGCCCAAGAGCGCCTTGTCCAATGAGCCTGGGCAGGCCCCGAGGGAACCCCGAAGGGCCCCATCAGGCCCCCAAGAGACCCCCAGGAGGCCCCGGCAGGGGAGGACGGAAAAAATGGAACGGAGGATACCACCCAGCCGTCGCTCCACGGGCTGCCGAGCAAGCCGTCCTTCTGCTTGTCCGCGGGGGGGGGGGGGTGCGGCCCGCCCATTGGGCCTCGGCACCCCGAGGCTTCGCCCGAGTCCGAGGGGTGCGGAGCTCCCGCCGCTCTGCACCCCCAGGCCGTCAGCAGCCTCTCCCTCCGATCAACGCAGGGGGCCCAGCGCAGAGAGGCCCTTGAAGGGAGTTGGGCCCAGAGCTGTGCGCCGGCGGCGGGTGCGGGGGGAGCGGGCAAGATCTGCATCCCTGTCCGCTGAGTCTGGGAGCTTCGGGCTCCCTTGCCCATGCACCCTGGGCGCCGTGGATCTGGATGAACCTCTGCCCCGCCGAGGCGAGACGTCGCTGTCCACATCCACTGCATCCACGGCGCCTCGGCCTTTGGGCGCCCCTGCCCAGAGGAGTCCAGGACGCAGTGGCCGCGGATGCGAGCCCTGCCCGCGGCGGGCGCGCGCCCCGCCCCCGAGCAGGGGCGAGCGGCCCAGGCCCCCGCCGTCGTGCGGTTTGCTCGCGGCGTCGACCCCCGAGGCCTCGACCCGTTCCCCCGGGGCCGGCTGCGCATCCCGGCCCGCTTTCGTTGACGGCCCCGAGGCCCAGGGAAGGCCTCCAAAGGCCAGACATGGTGATGGGGCAGGGACCGGCCGTCCCGGCATTCCTATAGAGTCCTACCACGACATGTTCTTAGGACCCAAAAACGTTCTAAGAACAAAAGCATTGTTCTTAGAACATGAACCCGATGCGATAACACAAGACAATCTCCGCCAGAGATTTTCGAAGAGCCCTTCGTGGAAGCCACACAAGGCTCTTAGAACAGTGTTTGGCAGGGCTAGAGGCACGCCGGGACGATTCGTCGCTGCTTGAGGTGAGGAACATCCTGTCATGACCTGCTCATGGCTCGCTGGGGGTCTGGGGAGCGATGATGGGCATGTTTTCCACCACCACCACAACCATAAGTTGGAGGAGGGAAGGAGGAGGACGAGGAGGAGGAGAGGAGGTGGAGGAGGAGGAGGAGGAGGAGGAGGTGGAGAACGAGGAGGAGGACCCCCTCACCCTCCAACTGATGGTGGTGGTGGTGGAAAACAAGCCCATGTAGCGAGGCGTTTGGCCCCGGCAGCATGCGGCGAGGCGGGAGTGTCCCGGTGCCCGTGCTGGCCGCTGGGGGTGGGCCCTGCGCGCTCCCGCTGGCCCGCCTCTGCGTGCCCGGCCGCGGTCGCCGCGGCCCCCTCCGCACGTCCCCCTGGCTGGGCTCCGCAGGGGGCCGCCGCGCGCGGGAGCCGCGACGCCAGGAGGAGGAGGAGGAGGAGGAGCAGGAGGAGGAGGAGGAGGAGGAGGAGTAGGAGGAGTAGGAGGAGTGGGAGTAGGAGGAGGAGTAGGAGGAGGAGGAGGAGGCGGAGGAGGAGGCGGAGGAGGACCAGTAGGAGTGAGAGTAGGAGGAGTAGGAGGAGGAGGAGGAGGAGGAGGAGGAGGAGGAGGAGGAGGAGAAGGAGGAGGAGGACACACAATGGTAGAAGCCCGCCACGACATTCGCCTCCAGTACCACTATCTGTTCTATTACCGCAGAAGTGTGACATTTGAGCCTCCCCGATGCGCAGTACGCAGCCACGTACACACAAGTGTCTAGCCCCCTGACATTCCCACTCCCACTGGTGCTCCTTGCACCCCATGCTTTCCCCGTCGTGGGTCCGACACGCTGGTGGCTTTCAGTCTTTAATGCAGATTAGGGGTACGCCTACGAAGCCCTGGGTCGCAGCCCGTGCATTTCTACTCACCTTTGCGGGACCCTGATACAGGCTACGCTCCTTTTACAGCCGCACGCTGTGCGCACTTGGGCCCCCAACAGGGTATGACCCCACTCAGCAAACTAGACTGTGTTTTAGTGCTTGCCCGCAGTACTTAACCTCTAATGCTGTTCCTTTTACTTCTGACCTCTTGGCCCACATCACAGGTTTGGGGTCCATCTAAAAAGCCCGTGGTCGCAGCCCAAGAAATGCTAGTTCATGTTGCCAGTTTGGCCCCCACTGAGAGTGGACTGATGCGCATCAGGCTGACTTCTTTGGGTGCCACACCCTACGCGTGAACAATCTGCCGACGAATACGGGTATCGCGCACCAACAACCTATTACCCTGCAACAACTACCAACCGCACATGCCGTTTCTTTTGGCCTTACCTCGGACAACTGATTCTCAGCAGAATCTCGCTCCTATCTACTGATGCGCCTTACACCTCTCGTTTCTCCGCCGCGTTGTCCGACACGCTGGTGGCTCCTCTCTTTCAGAAACAGGTTTAGCATACTCTTACAAAACCCTGGGTCGCAGACCTAATACTGCAAGTCACCTCTACAGTCGCACACAGTGCGCATTGAGTCCACAACAGGGTACGACCCCATCAGATAACTAGATGTTACAAGCCTGCATATTCAGGCTTATTCTGCGCTTCTGCGTTTTCTTTCTGACAGGCAAGCCTTCAGGCCAGCCTAGAACTACCTATCCTCGAGTCAGGTTCATCTTACCTTCCTATTCCTCTGACCTCCACACCCACAAGACAAGTTTGGGGTACGCTTAAAAAAACCTGGGTCGCAGCCCAAGCATTGTTTATTTACCAGAGAAGCCCCATGAGCGGGCTGATGTGCCACAGGCTGATTTTTTTCAGGTGCCATACCATACGGGTGAACAATCTGCACACGTGTATGGAGATCTAGCGCCAGCTGCCGACTACACTGCAGCAACTACCAGCCGCACATGCCCGACTTTCTTTTTTGGCCTCGCAGCGGGCAGTGGATCTTCACTCCGATCGCTCCGATCCACTGAGGCGACTTACACCCTTTTTTCTCTGACGCGTTGTCCGACACGCTGGTGGCTCCCCACCTTCAGAAGCTGGTTTAGGGTACGCCTCCAAAACCCTGGGTCACAGCCCTAGCATTGCAAGTAACTGTTTTATCGCACACAGTGCGCACTTGGGTCCCCTATAGGGACGACCCCATCAGATAACTAGATCTTGCAAGCCTGTGTGTTCAGACTCTCACTCTGCGCAGCCGCGTTCATTTCTGCTCGACAGGCAAGCATTTCAGGCCAGCCTTAACTCTATCCTCGTGTCGCTCTCCCACTCGCACTCCTACCCCTCACACTCCAGACCTACACACGGTGACGGTGGCCCCTCCACCTAGGAACCGAAGAGCGGGCCTACAGCTGGGTAAAAGAGCGGGCCTACTGCTGGCAAAAGGGAATGTACAAAGCTTACTATTGCCATTCCTGCACCTAATTTGTTACAGCACGGGCAGCATCCTAAGAACTGCTAGAAAAAAGAAATGGGATCGGACGTGGATTGGCGGATGGGGGGGGGACAAGCACTACGGTTTTGGGTACACCAAAACCCTGGGCAACACCCCGAGAACTGCTCACGTTGCCGCTTGTTCTTGCGCATGGTGATCGTTGCAAGTGCCATGAAACATCGTCATACAGACGACACGACCAATGAACCTACCTATCCTGTACTTTGTTACTTCGTTTGTTTTATGCAGGTCCGTGCCGTCATACTGTGTGTTTGTTTCCAGCTGCGACGGCGCTCACCCTCGGTCTCAGGTTGTTACCATGTTTGGTGTTGTTCTTGTTGGTGCTGCTGCTGTTGCTGTTGTTGTTGTGGTTGTTGTTACACTCATGTGAGTCTCGTCACACCTGGCGGGCGCCTACTCTCACTAATAGTCTCGTCCAACGCTCGCTCTTTCACATTTTCCGCGGCGCCCGCCAGGTATTGTTTGACCCGAGTCGTTTCTTTCCGCCACCACTACCGCCATAGCTTCACGCTCAGGTTGGTCTAACGTAAAAAGAGGAGGAGGAGGAGGAGGAGGAGGAGGAGGAGGAGGAGGAGGAGGGAGTGGGAGTAGGAGGAGGAGGAGGAGGCGGAGGAGGAGGAGGAGGAGGAGAAAGAGGAGGGAGGACGAGGACGAGGAGGAGGAGGAGATGGAGGAGGAGGAGGAGGAGGAGGAGGAGGAGGAGGAGGAGGAGGAGGAGGAGGAGGAGGAGGAGGGGAGGGGAATCCTGGAGATCCTACGTGACGGACAAAAATGCCACGTCGTGAAGCATTACGACCGGGGCCCTGGACCCCCTCGTTCTCTGCGGCGTTGCTCGGGACGCATCGGTCTGTGATGGCCCCGGGGCCCGAAGCTAGGCAAGAAAGCTCGGTGTGAAAAGAGGCACCTCCGGATCTCAGGGGCGAAGGAAGGAGGGGGAGCGGAAGTGGGGGAAAGGGGAAGAACCCTCGACCTCCACCTTCCGCATCTTCCGGACGGCGGGTGCCGCGCAGCGGCCGCCGCCCAGCGCGGCCGCAGAGGCGGCCGCAGATGCGGCCGCCGTCGAGGCCGCGCCGTCGAGGCCGCAGCGGCGGCCGCCGCGACGCGGCGGCACCTGCTGCGCGGAAAGTTCGGAAGGTGGAGGCCCAGGGGCGAGAGGCGGTTTCGACACGAAGGCACCCGCCCTCCTCGCCCAACATGGAGCAGGAGGAGCAGCGCGGGGGGGACATGCGGCCGCGGCCGCGGCCAGGGACGGTCAGCCCCACAGCGCGGCAAGCAGGCCGCGCACTCCCCCGCTGGGCTCCACGGGCAGCCACGCCGCCTCGGCTCCCACCTCAGAGGAAGAACAAACGGCATGCGCGTGAGCTTTCGGAGCCACGCGCGAACTTCTGGCGCTGGCCCCGCCCCCCTGGCGCCCGGAGTGCGCCAGGGGCGGCGCCGGAGGCACCGCCAGGGGGGGCCCCAATGCAGATCAAAGAAATCCGCGTGGACCTCCGAAAGAGGAATATGCTCATGCAGCTTTCGCTTCTTCGACACCTGTGCCGCGAGCGCCTCCGCCTCCTGGAGGTCCGCGCACTTGTCGCGCAGCCGCGACCAGCGGAGCCCCAGCCGGTGCAGCGCCGAGGAGACCAGTCGCATCTCCCGGTCGTGGCTTATCGCGGCGTCCTGGGAGAGCTGCGAGCGGTGCCGGAGCTCCCGCACCCGCAGCTGGATCCGCCGATCCCGTGGGGCTGCCGGGCGTGTGAGATCCTCGCCTCAGGGAGCTGGCCTGGCTGGTCTGGACCCAAGCCCCCGCGGGTCATGGCCAAAACTCATGACGGGAGGTTTTCCGCTGATTTCGGCCTCTGAGTGCCCTGACTGGCCCAGGGACCGACAAAGACCGACTCGGGATGAAAAGCCGGTCCGAGGGAATGGGGCGAGACTTGCGGTTGGGGGCCTACGTTAAGAAACAAGAATCATGACGTCGGGGGGGGGCGGACTAATGCAGGAACGGTCCAGACGGGTCTGGGCGTCTCAGAGGGCAGAATCAACTTCCTCGTAAGTTGTGCTGGCACCCCTGCAAGCGAGGCCGGTTGGCAAATGCCCCATGAGAGAACGCCAGGCTAACTCAAAACCTGCCCATTCATCGCAAGGCCTGGGGGTGCGGGGTGGCCTTTCCTCCCCTGATGGGGCACAGCATAGCTCAATAGGCTCCGAGGCGGCCCCCAGTTGGTGGCTTCCCAGGAGGCCCCGAGGGCCCCCAGAAAGGAGGGGACGAAAAAGTAACGAGACCGCCGCTCCCTGGATCTCTCCTGGGATACGTTCCGATAGATGTTGGAGGAACATCCAGCCGAGGGTTCTCCAGGACGAGCATAGGGCAAAGGGGGCAGCGCTAGGGGCGGAGCGGCCCATGGTTTGGACGCCCGAAATGGGTACGGAAAGAATGGGTACAGTGACCAACAACAAATGTTGTCGAACCAACAGCGGCCGCTGTTGGGCAGGCGGCCTTCTGTCTCGAATGGACACAAGCCGCGGCGGCGTGGACAGCGAGTCCTGTTCAAAATGAACAGGAACTGCTGTTGGGCATTGTACTCATTCTTTCCGTGCCCATTTCGGGCGTCCAGACATGGGGGGAATATCGACCTGGGATCGGCGACACATCGCCGATAGATTGGCGATAGGCCCCCGACAGCCAGCCCCCACGTTCCTGGGCAGGGTTGGGCTATCAGACCCCTATCGGCGATCAATGGGCGACAAGAGGATCAATGCAGGCCCCCCTGAGCCCCCCTCCCTGTCGTCGCCCCTGTGCGCAGCGGCAAAGGCCCCTTCTCCCCTCCTGACAAGAAAGTGGGGCTGGCGGCGAGGCGCACAGCCCATGCGGATCTGCTCCTCCAGCATGCGGGCCTCCTGCCGGAGAAGGGCGAGTTGAGACAATGGACACTCACAATCGGCCCCACATCGGTCCCCAGACCTCTCCCAGGTTCCGCACGCACCAACTTTCCGAGCTGCGTCCAGCCGTGGCGAAAGGGCCCCGCGAACCACTCTGGGGCCTCAAACGGACCTCCGCTGATCCTGGTCCAGCGGCCGCGCGCCCTGCGGGCTGCCCGGCCCCTCCTCGGACCGCCCCGCGCTGGCCACCTGCCGCGAGGCCTCCGCGAGGCCGCGCTCGGCCTCCCGCACCTCCTCGCGGAGGGACCGGGCCTCCGCCTCCGCGCCGGCGAGGGCGGCACGCAGCTCCCCCAGGGCGGCGTCCTCGGAGGCGCCGTCGGAGCAGCCGGGCTCGTCGTCGGCGGCGGCGAGGTCGGCCGGGTGGGCGGGCGGCGGGGCGGGCCGATAGCCCTCCTCGCTCTCGCTCTGCAGCGCCCGCACCCTCGCCTCCCCCAGGCGCGCCTGCCGCCGCGCCTGCTCCTCCTCCTGGCGGCGCAGCTCGAGCTCGCCGAGGAGCTCGGCGGTGGAGGCGCCGGCCAGCCTGCGCATGTGGCGCCCGTGCATGTCCTCCTGGTCCTCGGCGTTGCAGATGAGCGCCTCGGTCTCCTGCAGCCGCGCCCGCTCCTCGGCCGCCTCGGAGTCGAACTCCCGGAGGTTCTCGCGGAGCTGCTGGAGCTCGGCGGCGAGCCTCTGCACGCTCATCTCCTCCTCGGCACCGACGAGGTTCACGTGGTCCAGTCGTCTGTCCACCGACACCTGGTGCTCCTGCATTCTCTTCAGCTTGGCCCTCTGGACGACGCCCCAGGACATCTTCGGTGCAGCCTTCTCGCCGCTCACTGTGCGCGCGAGCTGCTCGCGCAACTCGCAGCACTCGTTGTCGCACGTCCTACACTCCAGCTCTAGCCGCTCTACCTTCTGCTGCGCCAGGCCATGCCTCCTGGCGTGCGCTTTGGCTACGCGGGTCTCTTCTTGGACCTCTTCGTGAAGGTACCGCATGGAACGCTGTGTGTCCATCGCTTCCTGCTGCTGGCTCTCGAACTCGTCCTGCAGCTCGTGAACGGTGTCCGCCTCGATGTGCAACCGCTCCTTGGCCGCATAAATCTCTCGCACCAAGCGCAGCGACGCCTGCTTCTCCGACAGGCAGCGAGTCCGCCGTTTGTCCAATTCCTCGGCCAGCTCCTGGAGCTCCTCCTGCGCACCGCCGTCGACCACGGAGTCTCGCTGTCGCGATCCACGGCCTTAGTCATTCTTGAACACGCTGGATGTGTTTTTGTTATGTTTTCCACGTTTCGCTCATGACCCTACAAAAACGCGAAACAACCGGCATCCCGGAATGTGGACGTCAGGCAAGCAGGAGTGTGATACTTAAAAACGAAATGAAACTCAACCAGGCGCGACCCCAAATAGGGGAAAGCTGCCTCTTGCATGGGCGCAGTGCTTGGCATTGCTTGGCATTGCTTCGCGTTGCTTGACATTGCTCGACATTGCTTGGTATTGCTTCGCATTGCTTGACATTGCTTCGCATTGCTTGGGGAACCCGAGAAACCCGAGGACCCCGGGGAACCCGAGGAACCGGGGGAACCCAGGGGGGGAACCCGAGGAACCCGTGGAACCCGAGGATCCCGGGGAACCCGAGGAACCTTGGCAGAGTAAGCCCGCGAGGCACCAACCTTTGACCAAGCAGGAGCCCCTCAGGCAAGCCAAATTGGAGAACGTAACGAACAAAGAGCCGAAACAAAATGAGCAAAAGGACCACGGGCCGACCCGTGGGCCCGAAACACAAACGAGACGGCGCCCGAAACGGAAAGAAGCCGTCGATCTTGAGAACGGGGGAAGCAAAACGCCCTGAAAGCCCGAAAAGGAACGCAAAGCGGCACCCGAAACGGAGAGACACCGTCGCTCTTGAGGACGGGGAAACAGAACGCCCCCCAGCGTTTGAAGGATCATCTGAGCCCAGTGCTGCTCACAGAGTCGCAGGGCCCGACCTCCTCGCCGCTCTCCGCGCCGGCGGGCTCTCCGGCGCCTTCGGCGTCGGAGCCCTGCTCGGCGCCGGCGAGGGCGCGCTGCATCGCGGCGGCCAGCTCCCCCTGGTGCACCTCGGGCAGGGCCCCGACGTGTGCGGCGGCCTCCTGCGCTCGGGGGCCCTGGAAGGCGGCCAGCAGCACGCCCAGCAGCAGGACCCGCACAGCCCGCGCATCGCCCCGGCCCGCCCACCTGACGTCCACGATCCTCGCCGTGCGCCCCTGCTGGGTGCGGTAGGCCTCGTTGATGTGGCCGGCGATCTCGACGCGGCAGTCCCTCGGCCTGGCGAACGCCTTGCTGGAGGCTTGGGAAAATGGCCCCCGGCACCAAGACAGGGGTTTGCCTCCACAAGGGAGGAGATGATCTCAGATGTTGGTGTCGGTGGTAATCAGCTGGCCTCCCAGGAAGCCCGAATGCCACCACCATCACCGAGATCGGGGTCACCTTCCCTTGGTGGAGGCACAATGCCGGTATTGGTGTTGGTGGGAAACCCAAAGGACACCAGTACCGCTACTCTCCAGACCTCTTCCTGGGTGCATTCTGACCAACATGCCAAGGCGAATCCAGCGGTGACGACGAGGGGCCCCCCTGAGCCCCAAAAAAGTGGACACGAGGGAAGGGTAGCGGTGTCAGCATCTCCTCCTCCCCTGAGCTGGTGCCAACCTCTACCGGCCTCCGGCCTTGGGCAGCTCCGCCTCCGCCCCGCGCACGAAGCGCCTCGCCAGCGACAGCAGCAGGCTGCCCTCCGCGAGGTCCTCGAGGGCGCGCGGCGGCTGGTCCTGCCCCAGGCAGGCAGCGGCCCAGGCAGCGAGGGCGGCGTCGCAGCCGGCATCCCCCGAGGCCATCCGCCGCCGCCCGGGGGCCCCCCGGGCGGCCTCGATCCGAGCTGGCCTGGGCCGGAGTGCCCACGGTCCCGCCGCGCGCCCGCAGGGGGCCCGAGGCCCGACTCCCTGCCCCGCGTCTGGCCACGCGCTGCTCCTCCCTCCTCCGTCCGTGCCTCATCCCTCTCGTCCTGTTCCCCCCCCTTCCTCCTGCCTCCCCCCCGTGTCCTCCCTCTCCCTCTCCTCCTTCCCAGAGGCCTCCAGGGGCCCGCAGGGTTCTCCTGGGGAGGGAGGGGGTGGCGGAGTCGGCCGCCCTCCCCTCTTCCGCCCCGTCGTCGTCGTGGATATTGTCGCATCGTCACCTGTCGCCTACCTGTCTGTGTGTGTCGCCGTCGACGTCGGCCCCGTCGCTGTCGTGCCGCGTCCGTCGTGTCGAGCGCGGTTCGCCCGTCAGCCGCGCGCCTGGGCACACGGCATAGACGGGACAAAGCCCGCAATAGCGCCGACACTAGCAAGCAATGGGAACAGGGGTAGTGATAGCACTTAGCACAGAACCAGTAACAGTACGACTAGTAACACATGTAGGTGTGGTAGTGGTAGTGGTGGTGCTAGTGGTCATTGTAGCCGGGGTGGTGTAGCACTAACAACAGAAGTCGGTTACCTGGCATCCCGCCTGGTCATGATCGAGCTGCGCATCCCAGCGGCTGGACAACATGGCCTCCAACACTGAGACCGAAGACGAGCCGAAAATTGTTCGTTTCATATCGACGTGACGTTCACCGCCAAGACCCACAGGCCCCGCAACCCCCGTGCAGGGCCTTCTCCACGTCCAGGGCGACCCTCGTATCATCAGTTTCCTGCTCTAACGCCGAGCGTCGTGCTTGATACCCCTCGTCCCTAAAACTCCGCGCCACGGGTGCGGAGATGTTGACATTCCCCTGCGACCTCCTTCAATTGCTTGGCGAGCTCCACTGGGAGAGCGGCACAAACACAGACTTCGGACGACCGCTGACGGCAGATGTTCGGCTATACGCAAGAGTGACCCTGGGTAAGAGTGACCTTTGGTGCGCGGCTTTTTGGGGGCCGCGGGGGGCCAAACCTGGGCGCGCAACCAGCTGCTACTGCTTCGTTTTCAGCCATCTGGGGACCCATCTGTGCCCGCACCAACGGTCACTCCGGCGAAAGGTCACTCTTACGTCTAGTCGAGCTGTCCGCCAGCGCTGGGCCCCGTCCCACCACCCTCCCCGGCGCGCCAGGAAAGGCGCCGACGGCGCCGCGAACGGGGCGCAGAGCAATGCGTCCAGAGACGGCAGAAATCAGCCGGCCGCGCACGTGCGAAGTTCTGGTCGGGCGAGAGGAGGGGATACCAAAGGGGGGGTTCGAGAATCAGCTCACGTAGCTGATATTCCCGGCGCCTTCCGGCGCCGGGAGGCGGCCATGTATCGAGGACTGGGCCCCTCGGTGAGGCCGAAACCAGCTGCACGCAGCAGATTTCGTCCCCCCCCCTTTCCCAATCCCTCCCTTTCGTCCGGCCCGAGAAGTCTGTGATTGTGCGCTTCTCTGGTCTTCGGTCGGTCCTCTTGACGTCGGGCAGCAGCCGCCTGGACGCGCTGGCGCGCACCCGCGACAGCACTTTGGAATAACACTGGGGTGCAACTTTGCGGGCGCACTGTAATGCACGCCGTGCGGCCAACGACTGCATAGCTGCTCGAGAGGCGCTGTCGAGTATACCTCAAAGGCCAGAGACGATGACACCAAACAACCGATTGTTATGATATTGGCAAGGATGATGATGGGAATGACGATGCGCATCACCATGGGAAACATCGCCATCATCATCAGCATCGGCGCCAACATTCTTCCAACATTCTTAACAATGCAATCGACACTGTCCTCACAGTAGCTACGATATTTCATACACTGGTCATTGAAACCTCTCTCTCCATCCGCAATTAGCCGGGGCAAACACGCACCTCTCCGTGAAACGTTTACATGTTGATGTCTGACTCGTATACCGACGACTCGCCAGTCGCGAACGGGATCAGGAGAGGAAGAGGCAGGATGAGGGGCAGGAGGGGGGGAGGGGGGACTGAGGAGCAGAGAGAGAAGGGGAAGGGCAGGGGAAGGACAGGAAGGGGGAGCGTGCGAACTCGTTAGAATCTGAAATCGCTTGGCTTGTGAGCACCATCGCCCCTGGGTGGACCAAGCGCTGGCTACAATCAGACTGTTGGAGCGCACGAAAGCCAGAGATGCGTGCGGCCGCAAGGGCTCCCTCGGGCTTGGAAAGCGCTACGGTCGCGTGTCGCGGCGGCGGCCCCGGCGGCACATGAGGAGCCGACAGCATGTCGCTCCGCTCCGCGGACCGGGAAGCTCGGTAAACGCCTGGGGCGTTGAAGTCTCGGGACCGGGAAAGTGGATAGCACGTCGCGCCGCGGCGTGGTGGGAGACAGAATTGGCTGCGCGACACGCTGCCCAAAAGTTCCCGACCGGAAGGATGGCCAGGGCCGAAGGATGCACTGTGCCCTTGCGGTGCAAGCCCACCCCCAGACCCCCGACGTCGTGATTTTTTTGCATCGTGTGTCCTGGAAATCTCGACCCACTCCCCGAGACCAATTTCTCGTGCTGAGTTGATTTTTTTCCGGAAGGGGCATAAGCCCAGGGTTCTCTTTTAGTTGGTTTACCTTCGGGTTTGACTTGAGGTGGGCCTTCGAATTTCTTTTGCGATAAATATCGAAGTCGAGGTGGGCCGCCGAATTGAAATTTGAGGATGTCCCTAGCGAAACGCTGGTTTTTGAAATCGCGATCGATAAATCACAGGGTGCGGGGCACGTCTTGGTCAGGGGTATGGATTACGTAATGCCTATAGATCGGCCCCATCCAGGGGTACGTATCTGTGTGTTTTTACGTATGTTCCTATAGATGGGCCATCTCGTTACCTATGGATTGGCTCTCTCCAGGGGCACGAATACGTGTGTTTTACATAAATTCATATAGATTTGCCCTCTCCAGGAATACGTGTTTTCCCATGTTTCAGTATTTGTTGAGGATGTCTCGAGCGAAACACTTGTTTTGTGATATAGATTGTCCTCTCCTGGGGACTAAAATTCAAAGGATCTCTCAAGTGAAATGCTTGTTTTCACGTGCCCAGGTCTTGAGGATGTGTCGAGCGAGACGCTTGGTTTCACGCCTCCAGGTTGCCCAGACAGATGCCTAGCATGAGGATTTGTTGAGGATGTCTCGAACCAGAGGCTTGTTTTCACGTGTCCAGGTCGCCCAGGCAGATGTCTAGCATGAGGATGTGTCGAGGAAGTCTCGATCGAGACGCTTGTTTGCACGTGTCCAGGTTGCCCAGGCGGATGTCTAGCATGAGGATGTGCTGAGAACGTCTTGAGCGAAACGCGTGTTTTCACGTGTCCAGGTCGCCCAGGCACAGCACGGCCCTCGGCACGGTACATCAATATCGATGCCCTTAGCATTGCAACCTGGCATGTTGCCTGGCACGTTCCGCGGAGCGTCCGGTGGCGAGTCCCCCTGGCACGTCCCGCGGCACGTCCATTGGCACGTTCCGTAGCGAGTCCACTTGGCACGTCCCGCAGTGCGTGCCTATGGCCCGTCCACTGGCACGTCGCCTGGCGCGTCCCTTGGGACGTTCCGCGGCGCGTCCTCCTGGCATATCCCCCTGTCGATTAGTTCTGGGGCAGCTACCATTTGCTCAGGCAGCTCGAGCTTAAGGTCCAGATCAGTTCGGTCAGGACTCGGATGCAACGTGGATTCGGTCCACAACGCTATCTAGAGCACAATCGCGGCATGGCACATCGCAGTTCAGCACGGCCTATCACAGCACAGCCGTCGGCACGGTACATCAAGATCGATACACTCAACATTGCACCTGGGCACGTTCCTTGGCGCGTTCCGTGGCGAGTCCACCTGGCACGTCGCGCGGCGCGTCCCCTGGCACGTCCCACGGCACGTCCATTGGCACGTTCCGTAGCGAGTCCACTTGGCACGTCCCGCAGTGCGTGCCTATGGCCCGTCCACTGGCACGTCGCCTGGCGCGTCCCTTGGGACGTTCCGCGCCGCGTCCTCCTGGCATATCCCCCTGTCGATTAGTTCTGGGGCAACTACCATTTGCTCAGGCAGCTCGAGCTTAAGGTCCAGATCAGTTCGGTCAGGACTTGGATGCAACGTGGATTCGGTCCACAACGCTATCTAGAGCACAATCGCGGCATGGCACATCGCAGTTCAGCACGGCCTATCACAGCACAGCCGTCGGCACGGTACATCAAGATCGATACACTCAACATTGCACCTGGGCACGTTCCTTGGCGCGTTCCGTGGCGAGTCCACCTGGCACGACGCGCGGCGCGTCCCCTGGCACGTCCCACGGCACGTCCACTGGCACGTTCCGTAGCGCGTCCCCTTGGCACGTCCCGCGGTGCGTCCCCATGGCACGTCCCCTGGCACGTCGCCTGGCGCGTCCCTTGGGACGTTCCGCGGCGCGTCCTCCTAGAATGTCCCCTCTGTCGATTAGTTCTGGGGCAGCTACCGTCTGCTCAGGCAGCTTGAGCTTAAGATTCAGATCAGTTCGGTCAGGACTCGGATGCCAGGGAGGACTCAGATCCACAACGCTATCTAGAGCACAATCGCGGCATGGCACATCGCAGTTCAGCACGGCGTAGCTCAGCACAGCCCTCGGCACAGTACATCAAGATCGATACATTCAGCATTGCAAATGCCCGTCGCCCAATCAGGTGTCTTTGAAACGTCACCATGCCTTACATTTCTATTATATTCCTTTCCGGGTTCGTGGGTCGATCATGTTGACGGTCCCGAGGCCCGGTAGGCCCCCAGAGGCTGAAAATCTGCCAAAAGGGCCCCAGGGAGGCGCCCGTTTAAATTCTTGGTGCGACTCGAGGGAGTCTGGCGCCGGCTGTGACTGCACCCTCTACAAGCAGGCGGCGAGCCCACGGGGAAGTGAGAGGGAGCAGACCCTCTCAGAAGGCTCGGAGGTTCCCTGGCCAGGAAACCTCTCAGAAGGCCGGAGTACTTCCCTGGACCTCCACCTTCCGAGCCTTTCGCGCAGCAGGTGCCGCCGCTGCGGCCTCGACGGCGGCCGCCTCTGCGGCCGCACTGGCGGAGGCCGCTGCGCGGCATCCGCCATTCGGAAGGTGCTGACGGTGGAGGTCGAGGCTTCTGAGAAGCCCCGCCGCCTTCTGAGAAGGCCTTCTCCTCCTCACCTCTCCCCGTCGCTCGCCGCCGGCCAAAGCCCCTGTGCCGCGGCGGCGCGGCCCGCGGGGACCCCGCGGCGCAACGATCCCGCGCTCGAGGCCTGCAGCGCCGCCTCGGCGTCGTGGAGCCGCTGCCGCCACCGCGCCGCCTCGTCCTCGCGGGCGGTCTCGACCTGGCCGCGGTGGGGGGCCCGACTGGTCAGACAAAGCCAAGACGAGGATAGAACCGGATGAGGATAAACCGAGAATCTCTGACATCTGGCGGCTCTGGAGGATGTATCGGGCGCCGCGGCCTTCTCAGAGCGTTCTGGAACGCCCTGGGAGCGTTCTGGGACGCTCTGGAACGGATTTATCCTCGCCCTAGCCCCGTCCGAACTGGCCTCCTCCTGCTGCTGCTGCGCTCGAGCCACGAAGATTATCCTGCGGTGTCTGACAGATCGAGCTACGCAACGGCGGCGATCACCAGGGTGAGGAGGAGACATCTGCTGCGATAGCCCAACTCATCAACCTCCTCTTCGACATAAAGAGATCGAGCGCATGCCACGTCGGAGGCCCCCCTTCGTCGCTGATCGGGCGGAACCACGGATGAGAATCGCGGCGGGTGGCGCTACGAACGACGAATGTCCTCCTCCTCCTCCTCCTCTTCCTCCTCCTCCTCCTCCTCATCATCATCATCATCACCATGTGCTTCTTGGAACACTTGGCAGGACATTGAACACAACTCTGATGTGATGATCGTTTCCGCAGCCGCATCAAAACCCTTTTCGTTTTCGCTGTGGTGGCGGGACTGCGTGTCCCAGAAGCCTGGTCTCTTAGAGGACTGTCCCATCGCATCACATCGCATCACCTGGTTCGAGTATTGGGGGACGGCTCCTAGACGATTCGGGCCTGTCAAGCTGAAGGGGCCATGAAGCCGAATTGAGCAAGATTTAGCCCAGACCTGAGCAAGCAAAAACGTAAGTAATGGGGATCAGGCCGGGTCGGGACCGTTTCCAGCCGTGGATATGCAAGCGCCATGGCTGAAGTGTACCTCCTGGGAGACGCAATCATGAGAATGTGCCGATCGAGCGGACTGGGGAACGTCCGGATACCGATCGCCGTCTGGCCTGGATCTCTGTCTCAAGACGCCCCGCGGGCGCGACGGGGCACAGGGCAGGCCGCTGCTCTCACCGCAGGGCTTTCAAAGGGCCTGGTGACCAAGTCTGAAGCGCACCACGGGGGCCATGGGAAGCGTCCACACGTGGCGACATCCGAACCCCACCCCCCCACCAGCCATCGCTTCTCCTGGGTCAATGGGAGGCGGGGGCAGGGTTCGGATTTTGCCACGCCTTCGACGAATTCCAGGCCCTGCCCCGCCGCCGATCGAGTTGCCTGACTCGCTGATCGGCGAGGATAGAGTTCGGATTTCGCCGCGGGGTCGAGGCTCGGCGAGGTGCCTCGCCTCTCTTGGCCTCGAGGAGCTCACCCTGTCGTCAAGGGGCAGAGCTGAAACGGGCCTCCGTGGACCCTCGCCGCCGCCCCCCCGAGCGCGTACTCATCCTCATGCTGCTGAGGCTGTGCGCCTTCCTCCTCTTCTCCCTATCCTCTTTCTCCTCCTCCTCCCCTCCTCCTCCTCCTCCTCCTCCTCTTCCTCCTCCTCCTCCTCCTCCTCCTCCTCCTCCTCCACCTTCTCCTCCTCCTGTTCCTCCTAACTTCTCGTCCCTCCTCCTCCTCCTCCTCCTCCTCCACCAACCCTCTTCCCCCCAGAGAACAACTCTTCCCTGTCGCGCCCCCGGACGTGCCAGTAGGGCGAGCTGGGTATTTCGGCTGAGACGTCTTCGCCGCTTCAAATGTGAAGCCTGACATCTGCAACACCTTCACAAATCGAACACGCGTCATTTTCAGAATGTGGCTGTCGCCTTAGCCCAGAGCGCCGTGCGCATTCATCTCATATGTTGCAGCAGCTTCGAAGATGGAACGCAAATCGTTTACAAATTGGGGCTCTCGTCTTGGCGCATCGTACATTGCTCGCAAAAGACTTGCAACGGTTTCATGGATGGAGGACGGCAATTCGCTTTCAACATGGGGCTCTCGCCTTAGCGCCGCGCGCATCCGTTCTTAATGCATCGTTTAAGGGGATCTTGTAGCGCTTCATGGATCAAGGGCAGCTCTTACTCAACATGGAGCTGTCGCTTAAGAATCCCTCGGCACGCATGACCACATGTAAACCGGTCCCATAGTTGCACGGATGGATGCGCTTCTTTTGCCCGGTAGGGGCGGGGGTCCAGGGTTCTCGTTTGGTGTTTTTCCCCCGGCCATGATTTTAAGCGGGCCAGCGGATTTCCGTTCGATACAACGAAATTATCCAAGCGATGGACCCAACCATATGCAGTTACGAATACCGCAAAGCAGGTTGAGCGAATGAGAGGGAACTCCCTAAGGGGCCACGAAACGTGTGAGGGGTGTGCCGAAATTGGTGCGGTGCCGCCATGCGAACGCAGCCACTGGGGCCCTCGGTGGAGCTCCCTATGGGGCCACGAAGCGTGTGAGGGGTGTGCCGAAATGGGCGTGGTGCCGCCATCCGAACGCAGCCACTGGGGCCTTCGGTGGAGCTCCCTCAAGGGGCACGAAACGTGTGAGTGTGCCGAAATGGGCGCGGTGCCGCCATGCAGACGCAGCCACTGGGAGCCTCGGTGGAGCTCCCTATGGGGCCACGAAGCGTGTGAGGGGTGTGCCGAAATGGGCGCGGTGCCGCCATGCGAACGCAGCCACTGGAGCCCTCGGTGGAGCTCCCTATGGGGCCACGAAGCGTGTGAGGGGTGTGCCGAAATGGGCGCGGTGCCGCCATGCGAACGCAGCCACTGGGGCCCTCGGTGGAGCTCCCTATGGGGCTACGAAGCGTGTGAGGGGTGTGCCGAAATGTGTGCGGTGCCGCCATGCGAACGCAGCCACGGGGGCCCTCGGTGGAGCTCCCAATGGGGCCACGAACCGGGTGAGGGGTGTGCCGAAATGGGCGCGGTGCCGCCATGCGAACGCAGCCATTGGACCCCTCGGTGGGGCTCCCTATGAGGCCACGAAGCGTGTGAGGGGTGTCCCGACATGGGTGCGGTGCCGCCATGCGAACGCAGCCACTGGGGCCCTCGGTGGAGCTCCCTATGGGGCCACGAACCGGGTGAGGGGTTGCCGAAATGGGCGCGGTGCCGCATGCGAACGCAGGCCATTGGACCCTTCGGTGGGCTCCCTATGGGGCCACGAAGCTTGGAGGGGTTGCCGAAATGTGTGCGGTGCCGCCTGCGATTGTACCCTCGGTGGAGCTCCCTATGGGGCCACGAAGCTTGTGAGAGTGTGCCAGAATGGGGGGTGCCGCATGCGGGCGCAGCCACTGGGGCCTTCGGTGGAGCTCCCTATGGGGCCACGAAACGTGTGAGGGGTGTGCCGAAATGGGTGGTGGGGAGGCATGCGAACGCAGCCAGTGGGGCCTTCGGTGGAGCTCCCTATGGGGCCACGAAACGTGTGAGGGGTGTGCCGAAATGGGTGGTGGGGAGGCATGCGAACGCAGCCACTGGGGCCTTCGGTGGAGCTCCCTATGGGGCCACGAAACGTGTGAGGGGTGCCAACTTGGGTGCGGCGCCGCCATGCAAACGCAGCCACTGGGGCCTTCGGTGGAGCTCCCTATGGGGCCACGGAACGTGTGAGGGGTGTGCCAAATTGGGCGCGGCGCCGCCATGCGAACGCAATACATGGGGGCCTCGGTGGAGCTCTCTCTGGGGGCCACGAACGTGTGGAAGGGTGTGCCGAAATTTGTGCGGTGCCGCCATGCTAACGCGCCACTGGGCCTTCGGTGGAGCTCCCTAGGGGCCACCGAGCGTGTGTGGGTGTGCCGAAATGGGTGTGGGTGACGCATGCGGGCGCGGGCACTGGGGCCTTCGGTGGAGCTCCCTATGGAGCCACGAAACGTGTGAGGGGTGTCCCGAAATGTGAGCGCTGCGACCATGCGAACGCAGCCACGGATACACCTCGGTTGAGCTCCTTATGGGGCACGAAGCTTGTGACGGGTGCGCCGCGCCCGAAAAGGGGCGCCGGTTCGCCATGCCAACGCAGCCACTGGGGCCCTCGGTGGAGCTCCCTATGGGGCCACGAAACGTGTGAGGGGTGTGCCGAAATGGTTGCGGTGCCGCCATGCCAACGCAGCCACTGGGGCCCTCGGTGGAGCTCCCTATGGGGCCACGAAACGTGTGAGGGGTGTGCCGACATGGGTGCGGTGCCGCCATGCGAAAGCAGCCATTGGAGCTTTCGGTGGAGCTCCCCATGGTGCCACGAAACGTGTCAGGGGTGTGCCGAAATGGGCGAGTCAAGAAGGATGCGAACCAGCCATCGGGGGCGCTCGGTGAGCTCCCTATGGGGCCACGAAAAGTGTAAAGGGTTGTCCGAAATGGGCGCGGTGCCGCCATGCGAACGCAGCCACTGGGGCCTCGGTGGAGCTCCCTATGGTGCCCAACGAAACGTGTAGGTGTGCCGAAATGGGCGCGGTGCCGCCATTGCTAAGCAAGCATATGGGGGGCCTTCGTGGAGCTCTTATGGGGCACGAAGCGTGTGATGGGTGTGCCGAAATGGGTGCGTGCCGCCATGCGAACGCAGCCACTGGGGCCCTCGGTGGAGCTCCTCTTGGGGCCACGAAGCGTGTGAGGGGTGTGCCGAAATGTGCGCGGTGCCGCCATGCGAACGCAGACACTGGAGCCTTCGGTGGAGCTCCCAATGGGGCCACGAAACGTGTGAGGGGTGTCCCGAAATGGGCGCGGTGCCGCCATGCGAACGCAGCCACTGGGGCCCTCGGTGGAGCTCCTCTTGGGGCCACGAAACGTGTGAGGGGTGTGCCGAAATGGGCGCGGTGCCGCCATGCGAACGCAGCCACGGGGGCCCTCGGTGGAGCTCCCTATGGGGCCACGAAACGTGTGAGGGGTGTGCCGACATGGGCGCGGTGCCGCCATGCGAACGCAGCCACTGGGGCCCTCGGTGGAGCTCCCTATGGGGCCACGAAACGTGTGAGGGGTGTGCCGAAATGGGTGCGGTGCCGCCATGCGAACGCAGCCACTGGGGCCCTCGGTGGAGCTCCCTATGGGGCCACGAAACGTGTGAGGGGTGTGCCGAAATGGGCGCGGTGCCGCCATGCGAACGCAGCCACTGGAGCCCTCGG